GAGGAAAAGAGATTTAATCTCCAAATACGGAAAGGTTTCTTCACTGTAAGAGCTGAGAAAATGTGGAATAGACTCCCTCGAGAGTTGGTTCTGGCCAGCTCAGTGGATTGCTTTAAAAAAGGCCTGGATTCTTTAACTTCTTGCCGACCGCGCATAGCCGAATGACGGCTTCACCACGGCCGGCCAGTTCTGAGTGGACGTCATATGACGTCCTCCCAGAACGCGCTCTCCTGCGCGCCCCAGGGGGCGCGCACACCCGGCGATCTCCGTGACCGCTGTGTCCTACGGACACAGCTGATCACGTGATGTGGTGAAAGGCCGATCCCACCGGCCTTTTACCACGTGATCAGCGGTGTCCAATGACACGCTGATCACAGGGAAATGCAAGTGCCAGTTCTCGGCTGCACTTTCCTCACGCTGTCAGATCGTGAGGAAAGTACTGCCGAGAACCGGCAGTTGTCAGAGCGGGGATCGGCACCGATCATCAGGGCACTGATGATCAGTGCGCTGATGATCGGTGCCCAGCAGTGACACCCGCAAGTTCCGCCCAGCAGTGCGCCCACTAGCCCCGCCCACCCGTTCCCAGCAGTGCCCCCACCTGTGCCCAGCAGTGCCCCCACCTGTGCCCAGCAGTGCCCCCACCTGTGCCACTCTGCAGTGCCACCTACCTGTGCCCAGAAGTGCCACCTACATGTGCCCAGCAGTGCCACCCACCTGTGCCCACCCACCAGTGCCACCCACCTGTGCCCACCAGTGCCACCCACCTGTGCCCACCCACCAGTGCTGCCCACCAGTGCCACCCACTAGTGCAGCCCAGCAGTGCTGCCAGTCAGTGCCACCAGTCAGTGCCCAGGGGTTGTGCCAGTCAGTGCCACCAGTCAGTGCCCAGAAGTGATGCCAGTCAGTGCCGTCTATCAGTACCCATCATCAGTGTCACCTATCAGTGCCACCTATCAGTGCTGCATATCAGTGCCGCCTATCCGTGACCCCTAATTAGTGCTGTCTATCAGTGCCGCCTATCCGTGCCACCTCATTAGTACTGCCTATCAGTGCCCTTTAGTGCTGCCTATCAGTGCCCATCAGTGCCGCCTATCAGTGCCCATCAGTGCCGCCTCATCAACGCAAATCAGTGAAGGAGAAAAAAATACCTGTTTGAAAAATTTTATAAAAGAAACAAATAAACTTTTTTTTTTTTTTCAAATTTTTTGCACATTTTTTAATTTATAGCGCAAAAAGTAAAGCGCCCAGTGGCGATTAAATACCACCAAAAGAAAGCTCTATTTGTGAGAAAAAAATGATCAAAATTTCATATGGGTACAATGTTGCATGACCGCGCAATTGTCAATCAAAGTGCGGCAGCGCTGAAAGCTGAAAATTGGCCTGGTAAGGAAGGGGGTATAAGTGCCTGGTAGGCAAGTGGTTAATATGTACACATAATATAACTGGATACTAACGTTTATAGGTAAAATTGATCCAGGGAATATCCAGTTGCCTCTCGGAGGATCAGGAAGGAATTTTTTCCCACGCAGGAGCAAATTGGTTTATGCTTTGCTGTTTTTTTTGCCTTCCTCTGTTTCAACTGTGGGTATAGAATTATAACTTTTTTTTTATGATTGAACTAGATGGACTTTTGTCTTTTATCTGCCAGACTATGTAACTATGACTACAACCAATGCCTTGACGCCGACGTAACACAAATATGCGGCCTCACAGAACTGGGCTTTTTTCCATGGGGCATATTTGCCTACCTGTCTTTGTGCTGGGAGTGCGCCATGTCACTGAGAGAACCGGGTCCCATTCTAACGATTCCGGGTCACATGATCGCTGTGATAGCCTCTGATTGGCTATCACAGTGATTAGTCACTGTACAGCCTGACCCCCTTGTTTTTTTCTCTATATGAATGGAGGAGAGAGATACATTGTATCTCTCTAACTCTTGGCATAGAGAGAAAAAACATTTTGTAAAAAAAAAAAAAGATAAATAAATTAAATAAATAAATATTAAAAAAAATAAAGGAAAAAATAAAGAAAAAATTCCTAGATCAAGGTTTGATCTAGTTCAGTGCCAGGGTTAGTGTTTGGGTCAAGGTCAAAAGGTCAGGGTCAAAGGTCAGAATTTATAAAAAAAAATTCGTATCAGTTTAAGTTAGTGTCAATTTCAGTGTCAATGTGTTTTAGGTAAAAAAAAGACAAAAACAAAATGTGCACAACAAATAACAACATACACATATATGGTATTGCTGTGATCGTCAAGAATGAGAATTTATTTTGGGTTGTTTTTTAGTGGTAGGTAATGGTAGTAACAAGAAACACAGTTAAATAAAAAAAAATGTTTTATTATTTTGGGCCAGTTTTCCTTTGATAAAAAGAAAAAATTCAGGAGATATCCTTTACCATTTACCACCAAATGAAAGCCCAATTTGTCCTGTACATTAGGTTATTTTAGTGTAGTTGAATGAATTGAGAGCCCTCCCATAGTAAGCTTAGTTTGAAATGCACTTCCAAGTGCACTTGAAGTGCACAGCCTATTTGCCTTTAGTAAATCAACCCCATAGAATGTTGATTTCAAATTTATAAGTTGATATTCATAATTTTCATTTCAAGAAAAAGCTGCACAGAACTGGAAGCAACACCACTCCATTTAAACAAAGCCTGTTACTAATCAGAATAATTTAAACTGAGCAAATATTGAAGCACAGTAAATGCATACAAATATTAGTTTTAGTGAAAACTGCACAAAAATACTAAGCAGATTTAGAGACATAAGCAGCTGAATTATTAAATTATTTAACTAATTATTATATTAATAAATTTAACTCTTTGCACAAATTAACCTTGCAAACAATCCATCGCATTTAACACATTTAAAGGGTAACTTTACTTTTGGGGATAAAAATACAAAAAAAAAAAGTATATACAATTGCTATACAAATCATATTGCAATTTAATGTTATTAAAAATGACCTTTTCAGTCTGCAACTGCTGTAATTTTCTGTAAAATTCAATGCAATATAGTATATAATTACTTATGGCTTATAAGTACATAATATAATTCAATGCAATATATACACAGATGGTGTATAGAATTTCACCATTCGTGTGTACAGTTAGTGTACAGAAATTCATAATTTCCTGCTTGTATGACTGGCTCTTTGACTTTCTCAGAAGTCTGCACTAAGAGTTAAGTCAAATTTTAGGCATCTTCTGTAATTATGTAGTGTAATTATATGTTTAGTGAAAAACACCAAAAAAACACCAACAATATAAATTACTTCTAAAGGGATGCCAACACTGCAACTTTCCTCACTGCAAGTGCATCAGTTGATTATGTGGAACACAGGATTTCCCATTCAGGAAACGTTATTCAAAGGACATAGTGAAGCATACAGTTTTTCCTTAAAGCAGTAGTAAACCACGAAAAAAAAACCCTGCAAGGCAATTGCATAATGTGCTAGTATGCATCGCATACTGGTACATTATGAAATACTTATTTTAGGATGAAGCCCTTCAGTGGTGCACTGTCACCACTGACAGGGCTTCCATCTTCATCTGGTCTTCCTTCCGGGTTCGCGGCTGCGGCATCTTGAATGGCCAAGCCGCGATGACTTCACTCTCGTACATGTGCACGGGAGTCATGGGCCTGAAGGAACGGCATTGCTTCAGAGCGCATGTGCCGGCTGCCAAAAGAGCAAATATCTCCTAAACAGTACACATTTAGAAGATATTCATTTTACTTACAGGTAAGCTTTATTATAAGCTTATCAGTAGGTAAAAATCACAAAGCCGACTTTACTACCACTTTAAGAGCAGAAACAAGTATGAGTCTGCATCAAAGTTTGTTAAAATCCTTACAATGTATATTGATTAACCAGAGGGGATTTTTTTTCTCAACAGAGGTGGAGTCATTCTTTAAGTATGTGAGCAAAACTTTAAAACTTTGAACTTAGAACTTTTGTAAGCATGATTCTTACAGGCATGTCCAATATGTTTACTATATATATATATATAAAATATATATATACACATTTTATATATGGTATTTTTTTTTTTTTTTACGTTGGCAGAAAAAACACTTAACGAAAGCTTTAATGAAAGCTTTTGCAATTGTGATCTCAATTCAAACCCACAAATACATAAGTAACACCAGTTATTGAAAGGGAATATTTACAAATGCAATTGCAAATGCTAATAAAATTTTAAGAACAAGCGTGTGATAGGTCAAAATGATCTTGCTTCTTACAAAGTAAGCTCTTATGTTCCTTCAAATATTTGCTTGGAGTCTAGCCAATCTCTACCTCAGAGGTAAAACAATCACCCCATGACAGTGGGTGGGGGTTCCCCTGCCCACAATTTCTGTCACATTCTAAAACCAGTGTGGTTTTTTTCGGGGCTTCACCTGCAAAACCATGTCATTCATTTACAAGGATCTGGGAATGAGAGAACTACAAGTCCCATCTTCCACTGTGGCAGACAGCTTGTAGCTTTCCATGAACTGCACGGATGAGCATGCTTGTAGTTCATTCACAATCCCAGCAACCTTCAAACTGACAACCCGTACAGAGGTATGGGCTGAAAGCTGTAGGGCTTTTCTGCAGGTGCCTGCTTTGCAGGCTTCTGTGGAGTATTTGCACATTTGTTTTGCAAAAATATGTGCATTTAATAATTTTTCCAAAAGGTGAACTTACCCTTCAAGCTGTGAAATACTTTGCTACATGAGGTAACAAAGTTAACAACAATAATGTAATTTTAACCACTCGCCTACAGGGCACTTATACCCCCTTCCTGCCCAGGCCAATCTTCAGCTTTCAATGCTGTCACGCTTTGAATGACAATTGCGCGGTCATGCAACACTGTACCCATATTACATTTTTAGAATTTTTTTTTAGACAGAGCTTTATTTTGGTGGTATTTAATCACCTCAGGGTTTTTTTATTTTTTGCTAAACAAACCAAAAACCACTGAAAAGTTTGAAAAAAAAACCCTTTTTTTCTTAGTTTTTGTTATAAAATTTTGTAAATAAGTGATTTTTTTGCTTCACTGATGTGCGCTAATGAGGCTGCAGTGAGGGGCACTGATAGACACTGATAGGTGGCACTTATGGGCACTGATGATGAGACACTGGTAGATGGCACTGATGGGCATTGACAGGCATCACTGATGGGCACTGAAAGGCAGCACTCATATATGGCACTGACTGGCACTGTTAGACAGCACTGACGGGCACTGACTGGCGGTACTGACTGGCACTGATTGGTGGCACTGATAGGTAGCACTGACTGGCATTGATAGGTGGCACTGACTGGCAACACTGAAAGGCAGCTCAGATGGGCATTGATATGTGGCATTGATGTGCACTGGTAGGCACTGATATGTGGCACTGGCAGGTGGCATTAATGAGTACTGACAGGTGGCACTGCTGGGGCTACACTGATCATCAGGGCACACTGATCATCAGTGCCATGATGATCAGTGTAGATGTCCCCTCTGAGGGATGCTGATTACCGGCTCTCCTCTCGAGCTGTCAGCGTGACAGCTCGTGAGGAGAGAAATGCCGATAACTGGCATTTCCCTATTTACATGTGATCAGCTGTGATTGGACACAGCTGATCACATGACCGAGCCGACATCTTCAGCTCTTTCCGTTGATCGGTGATCTGCTGTGTCCAAGGGACACAGCGCACCAACGATCGCCGCGCTGCGCACTCCCAGAGCTATGCATGCGCAGTTTGAATGGGAGGAGGACGTCATATGACGTCCTACCAGAATGAGAGAACCACCTTGCGCCCATCATTACCTTATATGTCGGGCGGGAGGCGGTTAAAGAAAGGACTGGATAATGTTCTTGCAACTACTAGTTTTTAGAGTTTCCTAATTATTTAAAACTAGGAAGGAATTGTGTCAGTGGACCTTGAAGGGATCGTTATTTGTTTCTTGGGACCGCCAAAGTTGTTAACAGTTGTACAGGTTTTTTTTCTTTTCTTTTTCTTTTCCAAAATTGTACAAGCTGTATAAGATTAAACCTGATGGATATTAACAACTATGTAACAATATACTGTAAATCCTCTTGCTTCAATAATTTCTGAATCATTGACCCAAAACAAGTATGAAAATAAAAGATCCTACCTTTTCTCTGATTTTTCTAGTCTGTACTTTTGTTCACTGTCAGGGAATCAAAAAGTATTTAAATCACAGAAAGCCGGGCAGCTAGAATACTTCAGAAAAAGGTCAGCAATGGCTGTCGGCATATTTCCTATAAGACATCTTTACTTTTATTGTAAAAAGACTGCAACAATTGCCTGGTGGTGCAATAGAATTCCAAGCAAATTACAACAACATAAAATGTAACAGACTTTTTTGAATTTTATATAACAACCTAGCTGTAACATTTTAAAAAACACTTCATGGTATATTTACACAATGTCTTTTTTGTCATTTTTCACAATGTGGCAACAGACCATAAAATGTTTAACCACAGTTTTAGAATTGAGCACTGACAATATTTTATTTTGCATACCTTTTGAAACACAATAAAATCTATTTGCAGCACTTGTCTGTGATGTTATATGATTTTACGACTGCATAAAATATGTAAGTGTTGCATACACTCATAAAAGAATCATGCAATTTGCCTTCAAGCTTAAAAAGATGCCATAACTTTTAGGAAACAAAAGCCACAAAAATTCTTATTTTGGCAGTGAGGCCACTCATCATAGTGATGGACTAATATTAATAAGCTGGGAGTTGAAGGACATGGACAAGTTTAAACACTTTTTGACCGTGTTGAAACCTAGACTATTAGAACAGCTGGCAAGCATTTGTGCATGTGGGTACTGAAAGCAGCTTATCTGCAAGCAACTCTGGTGTTTTCTTTTTTTTTTTTTTAAAGTAATAGACTTTAGTATTAGACTCGAGTAATAGACTACACTTACACAGCCGATAAGCAGTGGCCAGGGATGGCTGCTGGCAAAAATCTGATTCTTGCAAGTTGTTGTACACATTGCCTGCAGCTGTAAGTGGCCGTTGTCAGATTTGTACTTTCTACAAATCAATGGCAAGTACCATCACTGCTTTTTGCATGTAATCACTGTCCTATTGGGAAAAGAGCCTCTAACTGACCATAAAGGCAACCAGTGTGCATGCAGTGTAAGCATTTCTGCTTCGTTTGACTTTTTGATTTAGTCAAAAATGTGGCTGGACCAATAGCTCACCTCAAAAGCAGAAATTCTTCCTTAGCCCTGTACAGTAAAGACCTAGTTACACAGGTCTATGTTAAAATCATTTATCCAAACCTAAACATCCTTTTTTAAAAAGAGAGGTTGTTTTGCCAGCTCACCCATCTAAATAGTTATAAAATGTATATTCACCCTATGAGGTTGACTTAGACTTTTACTAATAATTGGGGTAATATATAAATTTACTTTCTACAGATAAAATTTACATTTCATAACTGCTCTGATGAGATTATTTCAATTTTTTTATTTATCCAAAAGGAGTTATTTTTTTAAAACGTTGCTAGTTAACTTTGTTCAAAGAGTTAGCTTATCATGCAAAATGATTCTGCCTGTCTCTGATAAGATCAAAGTGGAAAACATTCCAAACTGTACATAATTCTTCAACAGCCTGGCACAAGTTAAGAAACAAAAAAATGTTGAAATACACACTCAGACTTTGGTCATACCTTGCAGATATATCTTTGTCTCATAAGGATAGCCACTTATATTGGTACAGACTAATAGGAACAATCTACAGCACATTTGCTAGACTAAAATCAACCTAAAGTGTAAAAACCACTCCTTCTCACTCAGTTATCTAACTCCCAATGACTCAGTGTAATGCCTTCCACCCCAGAAAGGCATGTACAAACAGTAATAATGAGCCACATAAAAACTAAAATTATGCGTGCAAATCCCAAATTGTGATCTGAAAATGAATATTCTAAATACACTGTGTTCCAAATTAATATGCAAATTATATTTTTCTCATTTACCTAAATAATTGATGTAAATAACAGTCAGCATAATTCTCATGTTATCAACTATTAAGAGTACAATTCAAATTTTATTGAACAAACCTCCTAATGATAACAGTATTTTTTTTTTAAACATAAAAAACTTACAATGCACTGTTCCAAATTATTACGCACAGTAAGTTTCAAAACGCTTTACAGGTTGTAAAGAACTGAAAATTGTCATTTGTTGTGTTTGCAGCATATTTACTGAAATCAAAAGCTATTTCAATCAAACCTTTAACAACATTTTAACTTTTTAAACATTTTAACAGGTCACGTTACATTTTAACATAGGACCCCTTATTTTTGATAGCAGCTTCACAAGTCTTGCATCCATTGAACTTGTGTGTTTTTGGACAGTTTCTGCTTGAATTTGTTTGCAAGATGTCAGAATAGCCTCCCAGAGCTGCTGTTTGGATGTACCCTGCCTCCCACCCTCATAGATCTTTTGCTTGAGGATGCTCCAAAGGTTCTCAATAGGATTGAGGTCAGGGGAGGATGGAGGCCACACCATGACTTTCTCTCCTTTTATCCCCATAACAGCCATTGATGCAGAGGTATTCTTTGCAGCATGAGATGGTACATTGTCATGCACGAAGATGATTTTATTACGGAAAGCATAGTTCTTCCTTCTGTACCAGGGAAGAAAGTGGTCAGTCAGAAACTCCACATACTTTGCAGAGGTCATCTTTACTCCTTCAGGGGCACTAAAGGGGCCGACCCGCTCTGTTCCCATGATTCCGGCCCAAAACATGACTCCACCACCACCTTGCTGATGTAGCAGCCTTGTTGGAACAGGGGGGCCGTCCACCAACCATACACTACTCTATCCATCTGGACCATCCAGGGTTGCACGGCACTCATCAGTGAACAGGACTGTTTGAAAATGAGTCTTCATGTATTTTTCTGCCCAATGCAGCTGTTTATGCTTGTGATCATTGGTTAGTGGTGACCGAATAGAAGGTTTATGCACAGTTGCAAGACTCTGAAGGACTCTATACCTTGATGTCCGTGGGACTCCAGAGGCACCAGCAGCTTCAAATATCTGTTTGCTGCTATGTAATGGTATTTTAGCAGCTGCTCTCTTGATCCGATGCATGGATCTGGCAGAAATCTTCCTCAATGTGCCTTTATCTGCACGAACCCGGCTGTGCTCTGAATCAGCCACAAATCCCTCAATAGTGCGATGATCACGTTTAAGTTTTTGTGAAATATCTAATGTTTTCATACCTCGTCCAAAGCATTGAACTATTTCACTCTTGTCGGCAGAAGAGAGATCCTTTTTTTTCCCCATATTGCTTGAAAATGGTGCTCTGCTTAATAATGTGGAACACCGTCCTTTAGTAGTTTTTCCTTAAATTGGGCTCACCGGCCAATCTAATTATCACAGGTGTCCGAGATTGTTTTCAGTGATCAAAAGAGCCCTGACACACAATGCCATCCATGAGTTAAACTGAAAAACAAAATATTTAATCTTTGTGACACTTAAATAGAATCTGCATAATAATTTGGAACGTGGCATAAATCCAAAAGGTCACTAATAATCATCCAGTGTCCAAGAAATATTTTTCTTAAGTAGTGAACTGTCCAAAGACATGCGTAGTCATACACAGTTCTTCCTTGTTCCCATATTACCTCAAAATAAAGAAATAAACATAGTGCATTATTCTTATAACTTAATATGCCTACAAAACACCTCACTGTACCCATGTGGGAAAAAATTATAAATAAATTTAAACACTATGTGCTATTAGCACTAAGTGACTGCAAATGTGAAAATCTGTCACAGCAAGAAAAAGTGAAAGTGAATGCACAAACCCAAACAAAACAAAAACCCAAACACAAGATCTTCTGTCAATCCATGTACCTTACCAAACTGACAAAAGAAACCAAGTCCTCCCTTCAATTGCAAATAAAATGGATGATGTGAACTCATACACTCAAATAATAGTGAAAAACGTATCTTCTGTGAACCAAAACCTGTCATCCAGTGCACCTTACCAGAGGACAAGTAAACAGGGCTTAGAATAGACCACCAGCTATCCCGGATCATGTCTTCATATGCTCCACACAATCATGATGGTACCACAAAGAGAAAAATATAGCAATAGTGCAAGACCTCCAAAGAACTTAAAGGCACTTTAATAGAACTGCTTACAGAGTTAGCATGACTAAAAACAACCAGCAGCAAAAGTATAAATCTCACTATCTCCCAAATGTATAAACCACTTCCAGGCTACATCATCTGACATCACTTCCTGACATGTTTTGTCATTCCGACTTATTCCTGCTGTAATCTAGG